CATATATATATTTATTATATATATATAGAATGTAGATATAGATATATATATATATATATACATATATATATATATATACTTATATATATATATAGATATATACATATAGATATATATATATAGATATAAATATAGATATAGATATAGATATATATATTACGTGCTAAACGTGGCACACGACTGAACTATGTAGCGGAACGTATGACTACATCTGCTGCAGTAGTGCACTCAGCAGAGGTTTCTGTAGTGGCACAGAGCATATATATGGACTGACACAGCTGTACAGGCTACACACACGCGTGCATACGATGTGCAATAAACACACCATAGTGGCACTGACTCTGCCGGCCTTCTTCTCGTAGTAGTCCGCTGTGGTGCGTCCCTTTGACTTCTCCGGGTCGGGGTGCAGAAAAGTGGACCACTTGGGAGGGTCCTCTCGGATATCTGGACAGAAACAGGACAATGGCGCGGGATGACGATAAGCGCTGTGCACGTGTTGGCTATTCTATTCATAGATGGGCAGATATAGGCATAGTGCGGTAGCCCCAGGCCCCAGATGTATAGCGACACTCGATGGGTGGAGTACACCGGGGCAAAGCACAAAGCAGCGGTGGTGGCTATGTGCATGGACATGAACAGGGGCAGAGCACAAAGCAGTGGTGGTGGCTATTTGCATGGACATGACCTTCAGGTGGCAGCCAAGGTTAGACGGGGCACGTGCCACACCATAACAGCCACAGTGCAATAGCACAGCCATGCGATCAACAACGTATATGAACCAATATAGATAAGAGACAACTACCACCGAGCCAAAATACAAACACTACATAATACCAACCCAATAACAGACACAGTGCAATAGCACAGCCATACGATCAACAACGAAAATTAACCAACACAGATAAGAGACAACTCTCACCGAGCCAAAATACAAACACTACATAGTACCAACTCCAAAACAGACACAATGCAATAGCACAGCCATACGATCAACAACGTAAATATACCAGCACAGATCAGAGACAACTATCACCGAGCCAAAATACAAACACTACATAGTACCGACACCAAAACAGACA